CTTCGATTAAAAACTGGGAAACCATTAAGCACTCAGCAAACAGCAGAAAAACTTGGCGCCTCTAAATCAAGGCTGGACAATTTCACCTAAGAATCCTCAAGTTAAAAAAAGACCGTGTTTTAAATCCATGAATTTTCTCAAGCATACTGGAGTATTTATTTTTCTCCAAAAAGGTCGCGTACGCGAGGATATCAAAACAGCACGTCTAGCAAACAGAAACGTGTGTATCTTTCTCGTATTTGTTTAGTCTGACTATAATGTTAACCTGTAAGTTCAATAAAAAGCGGCCTGACCTTCGGTATGCGTTCAACGTGGTGCTGAGATGTAGCATCAATTAGAGCGGGCTGAATGAATGTAGGCATGTTTTCAACAGGTTGTTTCGATGTACCTCAAAACGCTTACTCAGTGATGCACTCTCATTGTCTGACTAGCTTCTAGGTTGTCATCATGTTCAAGATAATGTTATATTTGCTTGTGGGTTGTCGGAAAGCGTACCCACTTTCAAACTTTGTCATTTTAAAATATTATGTGCTCACTCTTAGCATTTTACCCCCCATCCATCTCTCCCTCGGAAGAAACCAGTATACTCTTACCAACTGTCAACACTCACCACCACCACTACCACCCCTTTCCTCCCCCCCCCTCACCCCAGCCCCCATCCCCAGAAAAAGAAAAAAAAAGAAAGAACAACAACATAAAGAAAAACAAAGCACTCTCTCATACGTACCCATGCACTTACTTCCTTCCACTCTCCCAAACACACCCATTCCACATATGCTTTAATCCCCCCCCCCCCCCAAACCCAAAAAAACCTCCGCTCCACTCCCTACATCCAGGCACATGCTGACCTTCGTCCTTCTTTTCAGTCTCGGGGGTCACCCAACATCTCTCACTGTCATTTATTCCTTTACTCCTCCCCCCCCCCTCCAAATCCCGGTCACGCACACAAATACACACGCACATTATAATATTATGCGTCCTTCTCTTCTGTCTTGGAGGTCACCAACTTCTCTCTCTCTCTCTCTCTCTCTCTCTCTCTCTCTCTCTCTCTCTCTCTCTCTCTCTCTCTCTCTCTCTCTCCCTCTCTCTCTCTCTCTCTCTCTCTCTCTTTCTCTCTCTCTCTCTCTCTCTCCACACACCTCAAATAGGGCTGTTATCTCTTCTCTTCCTCCAATTCACCTGCCCCTTTTTCTTAGAGCCTACTTCTCATCTGCACACCTTCTTCATCCTGATCCTTCAACGCATTAATTTTAAGTGAGGAGGTGGGGGACTACCCCCCGAAAGTCCCGATTCGGCTCAAAATGATGGTTTTTGAGTTGTAGGCTTTATTTTTTAGCTTCGTCAAACTCTCTTACAACTATTTTATAGCATAAGAACCCCCTAATGTTTTATTTCTTCCCATACACCACCATTTCTTCCTAAAGTCAACCTTTAATTTTTCTTTGTAGCCTGTTTTTTTTTTTCAAAACGCAGTTTTTCTATATACTTTTCTGAATAACTCCACCATTTTTTTCCAATCTTCATGAAATTTTCACAGAATGAAGAAACTCAACTCTTTTTTCAGATTTGATTGCAGATTTTAAGACTCCTTACTATGCTTGTTATATGTGTGAAATTTGGTAAACTTTGATCTACTAATAAGTGAGATAGCATCTTGTTTGTTATATCACCTGCTTCATGGTTTTATTGTTTTAGTCGAAATATTTTCTGAAACCCTCTCTCAATATTTTTCCTGGGCATGCCTTATCCTCTGCATCCATCTGATCTCTGATAGTATGTACAGGCTACTGTACTTTCTAGTGGTATTAATGACATTTATGTCAAAGACCATTAACTAAAATATTATACATTTACTGTTCTTTTTCCTTCTAATTACATAAGCAGCTGATTCATCTCTTTGTGGCGTCGGTGGCCTAGTGGTTAGGCTCTCGGACTCGCAACCGTAAGGTCGTGGGTTCGAATCCCGTCAGGGGCCCACGTTGTGTCCTTGGGAAAGGCACTTTGCACAAATTTTCACCCAGGTGGAAATGGGTACCCAGCTATAGACAGAAAAAGATCTTGTCAGTTTGATAGTGTTTGAGCGCGTGAAATCCGCAGCTTTCACTGCATGCTTCCGCGGAAGCTGAGAATGTTTCGGAGTGTTCTATGGTCTGCTGGGGTAATAATATAGTGTAAAGCGCATAGAGCCTGCTGTTGAGCGGGAATATGCGCTATACAAATGCTATTTATTATTATTATTATTATTTAGAAACGACCACTCCACACATATTATGTTTCCCCTGTCTTCCCACTGCCTTCTTCTCCCTTTACCCGCCCACATCCGACTAGTGTCTGTGTTGCAACAGATGAGCGATTCGCTGTCGCATACAGAAGGCTAGAGTTCGGTCCCTAAATGGGGACAAAATGCGTGTCTATCTAGTGACTCGGTGTTTCTGCTGGGATGTTGCATTCTTCTCAGCCCGGGTTGGCCCTGACTAGCAGAATCGGAAGTCCGCCTCCTAAACGATGTAAATTGTGTCGATGTTGTAAAAACACGTACTTAAGAAACGCTGTGGGTGGTTAGCGGGTGCTCTGGTGTGGTTTGCTTCTTCTTTCCTATGAAACATCTATTGTCCTTATCTCCCTTCTTTTTCATGTTTGTTACACTCTTAATTGTAACACCTCTCATCTTCTGGTGCTCAAATGACCTTATGCAGTTGCGAGCGCCGTAAAACCTGTACTAAAACTAAAACTAAGAAACACTAAGCTGCAATAATAACTTTTTTTTATTATTCTGAGCCTTGTACATCTGAACAAGTGGCTGCGACGATATGATGTGCTGTTACACTATGTAAGTTTTCTGTGTAAGTTTTCAAATCACTTTTTTTTAAATTGTTGTGTTTGTTTTAAAAAATATATTTAGAAGGAAAGTTAAAAAAAAACGTTCAAAGTTCAAACCAATTACTTGTAATTAGACGTTATTGTTGGATGTGTTCACCTCCTCGCATAAGAACAAAAGGGGGATAACCGTCACACTTTTCTTTCTTTATCAAACACACGATTATTGCCCTTTTGTTGGCTTCCATAATGCGGGAAGCAGAGACTTAAATGATACCGTAGTCATTCTGTGGCCTCCAGAATATACGAGAAATAGCAAAATAACAAACAAAACAAAATAAACAAAACACAATCAAACAAACAAACAAACAACCCCCCCCCCCCCCCAACCCTCACCATAAAAAAGAAATCCCCAAACCCGTGATCATTAGGTTCTTTCACCCGACGCAGCATTAACCACTTCACTGCCAGGGACTAACAGTGGGCAAGTGGGAGGGGGAGGGGGTTAGTGTTGTAATGGAGGGATAAGGGGATAGATGGGTATAGGGGGAATGGGATGGGGTAAAGGGAGTGGAAGAGGGGAGGGAATGCAGAGGTTGGCGGGTGGGGGATGGGAAGGTCGTGGGATGAAGGTGGATGTGGTTGGGAGTGGGGTAGGGTATGGTATGGTGTGGTGGGGAATGTCAGGTTGGTGGGGATTGTCGTGTTGGAGTAAAATATGAAGGGCTCATTTGTTCGGGGTAAGGGCTATATTGCACTTCCTTAGGCACAAGAGGACGCTATGTCACATAAAATCATGAGCTTTTAAGACTGGCAATAAGAATATTTATGTAACACTGCAACACAGGAATTCGCTTCTACTTTTAATCCAACCAGAGTGTCCGAGACAGTATCGGGCCAGGCAGTGAAGGGGTTAACAGAAAACCAGAGCCCTCCATTCCGAACTAAATTGACCTATTAAACATTTTCGAGGACTCCACTCTCAGTGGAGCCAAGTTTGGGTCGCCATGGCTTCTTGTGCATAGGACACTTTTTAACTTATTATAGAACAGGGCATCGAAATGTACTTTTACAGGCTAAGATCCCTTACTCTGCAACATTATAGTATTCTTGAGAGTGTTCCTTGTGAGATGTGAAACATGTCTCGGGCAAGTTGCTTTTTTTTCTTGGCTTTTTTCTTTTTATCTGCAGTTCTTTAATCACTGTTTTAAAACAACATGACAGGAATTCAAAAATACATTCTGGTGTACTCATGAAGCACAAAGTGTTTGAAATCAGTCCCTGGCCAGACAAATACGAATGTTGTTCTCGGTAGGCAAATCATAATAAATTGACAAATTTTAATGTTTGAGAGGACAAATAGATACATTGAGTTACATAGCATCTTACTTTATGACAACCAGTTTGTGCAAAAAAAGAAATAATAATAATTACAACTTTTTTTATGATACGATTGAAACAAGATAAAGACAAATACAAATCCTATAATCAGTACATTACAAATACATTTGTCTATTAATAACATTTTATACATTCTTGTCTGATGAAACATTTGGAGACATAATAGTAGCTGAAAGTGATAGCACAATTTGTAAAGTCGTCTCTCAATGTCCTTTAATTCAGAACCACTTCAGTAGATGTGTTTGGGGTTTTTTTTTAATTCTGAATGCAATGATAATACATTGTAATAATCAATACTTAATCGTTGCATAATATATAGGGCTTATCCATGCTCCACAACGACGTCAACGAATATATTGAGGACTGTCTGCAGACGACATAGACTTGTACTCTTATATCCTAGACTGTGCACTCTGACATAATATGTCTGATTCACCGTGGAATGCACCATTGGACTCAATTTGGACCAAAACGAAAGGCAAAGAGGGAGAGCGAGGTCATTTTAGCGCACATGGGTGTCTGCATTGTAGCAAAATTGGTTGTTTTTCTTTCGGGTTTTTTGTGGATTTTTTTGTTTGTTTGTTCGAGGGGGGGGGTTGTTTTTTTTTTGGGGGGGGGGGCTTTTATAAAGAGCAAAGAACGACTGCCATGACAATGCACGATCTAGAATAAATTCTAATTCAAGTCTATGACTAATTTCTCCTCTGTGCTCAGCGTTTGAGGCGTGATGACGTCAGCCAAATTTGATTGAGGATCGTCTGCAGGCAGGCGACGCCAGAGAATTATGGCGCCTCGACCGTCAAGGTCACCGGATCAGACGTGAGTCCGGTGGACAGAGATCTGCACCGCAATTGGTCACCGTCTGCTGAGAGCGGGAAGGCGAACTGGGGACGAGCATGAGACTAGTTGTGTTCTTTACTTTAATAATAAGAGAAGAGAAGAGAAGAGAAAGAGAAGAGAAGAGAAAGAGAAGGGAAGAGAAGATGAGATGAGATCAGACGAGATGAGATACGATTAGAGTATACTTCAATGATAATAAGCTTCTTGTTTTTTTGTGAATATTATGCCTCTATTTCAAAGAAAAGAAAAAACCTTTACATGATCATGGACATCTACATCCTTCTCCTACTCCTCCTCCTCCTCCTCCTCCTCCTCATCATCATCATCATCATCATCATCATCATCATCATCATCATCATCAGCATCATCATCATCATCATCATCATCATCATTTATCATCATCATCATCATCATCATCATCATCATTATCCTTTTAAGATAAGATAAAACAAGACAAGATAAGTTAAGATAAGGTATTGGACGTGAATCCACAGGCTTCATAAATAAACTCACATTCTAATTTCCTGCTTCATTCGTTAATTTTCATTTCCATTCATTCTTCACTTAATGTGATCATACTAATGTATTTAGTTATTACTTTATCTAATCATTTTTAAGCGTTCTTTTATTTACTTTTACTGGATGGATGGATGGGTGGATGGATGAATGGATGGATGGGTGGATTGATGGATGGATGGAAGGATGGATGGATGGATGGTCCACGAACTCACCTGCCTAACGTTCCTGCTGAGATAGAGACATTCTAGGCCAGGAGCGGTTACGTCAGCGCTGAAGAACTGTCTGGTTCCGGAGGTGAAAAACTCAAAGGGCGAGCCGGCACTACTGACCTCCCACAGGACTGCCTGGTCTCTGAGGAAAGAGTGGGGAGGTGACGCTAGCGAGGAAGGGGGAGAGAGTGGCGGGAGAGAGCCAGTGTGGGTGATCCAGCGGATTGGGAGGGGGGGGGATAATTCATGATGAAGTTTTTTTTGGGAGGAGGTGGGGGAGGAGGGTGGCTGTCAAGGATTAATGTTTCATGATTTGCTAGACTTCGGAGGATAAGAAGGGGAGGGATGTTGGTGAGAGGTGGGAGAGAGCCGGTGTGAGTGATCCAGAAGTCTTTTTGAGGAGATTTCAAGGCTGTAAACCCATTTGGCTCGGTCCTATCGGAGACGGACGTTACTTCAAAGGTCTCACCTCTAAAATAACCTAAAATTATTGACAGGGTCTGAAGCAATGAATGCAGCATAAAGATAAGTGCAGTGAGGTTATAATGTATTTTCCATCGTTCAAACTAGGAAAGGAAAAGAAAAGTAATCATAATTGGTCGCTTTAAAGGACAGGCGGGCTAACCCAGATTTCGAGAGTTTCCAGAAAAATTGATATACACCAAAAATAGACATTGCCCTACCTATAGGCGAAGTTTGGTTTCATTTGTGAGTATATTTGTTTGGTTATAGAGAAAACACTCCTTGTCTTTTAAAGAAACTGAACATGGGGCAAAATCTTTACCTTCGAATTTCTCAAAACAGCATTTTTCGGGATAGCCCCCTTGTGCTTAAAAGCGATCAATTGAACATCATTTTTACCGGAACTCAATTGACTCGCAAAGCAGGCCACTGGTCTGTCCGGCCACCAGGGGGAGACTGATGTTTGACCGTGTCCTCTGTAACCGGGCGTCCACTGGGGAGGTGATGGTCGATGTAAGTGGTGTGGTGAAATATCGTAACTCAGAATTACAAAGTTCTATTTGACATTTTTGGCCGTTATATTTTCCAGATAATAAGACCATGAGATAAAAAAACAAATTAATAATGTTCGATCTGCTTTCTCAAAACCGTAAGATTATTCTGAGTTAAGATATCAATAGAAGTGTATTCGACTAAGCTTGACATATGTGAGGTGTGCTGACAAAATGAGTTACTTCTTGCTGTCCAAGAATGGAGATATCGGCCGAAAATCGACACAGCGGTCAGATTTATAGATTTCTAATTGATGCCATTTTGTTCAAGTCTCCCATGTCTTTTATTCTTCCATACTTACAAATTGTACAAACCTCACCTATAAAGTTGATGTATCAATTTCCATAAGGTTAAAATCGGAGAAGTAACTCATTTTGTCAGCGCACCTCACATATTATGAAATTCAAAATGTTTCTCCTCGAATTTTTCAAAGCTAGGTACAGAGCAGCTTTACCTTTGTAATAATTCTATGGTAGCGATGTACAAATTGGTGGTTAGCGGTTTGTTTTATGGGTGTACAAAAAGTCTTGCCGACATTTTGTAACACGAATAAGTATGTAATTTTCATAGCATTTTGTTGTAAAAGAAACTAACAATAAAAAAAGTCACCAAAAAATCTGCACGTTGCTGATTTGACTCACTTGTCAAAATGGGCGGTGCTGCTGCCTGGTAGACCACGCCCCCTGACAGCCCACTACATACGTAAGTGACGTTGTCACGGCAGTGCACTTGATTGAACCCCAGTCGGAAAGATTTAACCAGGTCTGCTGTGGAGCTGTTGCCAGGGAGAAAAGAAATAACTAACATTGCATGTAAAAAAGATAACAATAATACCAATAATAATAATAATAATAATAATAATAATAATAATAATAATGATGATGATGATAATAATAATAATAATAATAATAATAATAATAATAATAATAATAATAATAATAACAATAATAATAATAATAATAATAATAATAATAATAATAATAATAATAATAATAATAATAATAATAATAATAATAATTATAGGCGATTTCGTCTGTACTTTCTTTATGAACAAATCCAGTGGAATGCAATAAAGAAACATAGAAAGCAACGAACCTGGAAATGGTGTAAAGACTGGGATCATTGTTGAGACTCTGTGCACCATCTGCAGAGAAGGTTGCTATGGTGAACAAACCACCTGGCACAACTCTGTGAGGAAATGATTATATAAGAATGTTCAGTTTCAATGTGCTCCTAGGAAAGGGGCAGGGGGTACCAAACTGGGATGCATTCTCCACACAGTACACATATGACACTCAGACAGGTGTAACAGGAGAATAACAAACACAAAAAGAAGGTGGAGAGAAAAGAACTATAGAAGTTTGATGATAAAAAGGAGCTAACCACACCACTGCACCCGCCAGCCACTCACCTATGTTTTGACTATATTTGATTGCTTTTAAGCACAAGGAGGGCTATCCCGAAAACTGCTGTTTTGAGAAAATTGAAGGTAACGTTTTTGGATCCTTTTTCAGTCTCTTTAAAAGACAAGGAGAGTTTTCTCTATAACCAAACAAGTATACACAAAAATGAAACCAAATTTCTACTATAGGTAGGGCAATGACCACTTTTGGTGTAGGTCAAGATTTCTGGAAGCCCCCGAAATCTGGGTTAGCCCGCTTGTCCTTAAAAGTGACCATCTATACCTGGATACCTGGATACCTGGAGGTGTCATCTCTGGCTCAGAGATTACGTGTAATGACCCTCCACCTTTCACGGTCACGAGCTGCCGTTCCACATGCTGCCATATCCAGTCCATGTTCTTATGTTGTCCAGCCATGTTATTCTTTGCCTTTCTCTGGCTCTCCTGCCCCACATCTTTCTTTCAAGCACCTCTTTCGCAATGGTCTCGTGACGTTTGAAGTGGCCATACTATTGTATTTTTCTACTTTATATTTTGTTCAGCAAGGTTTGTCTTGTGTGTAGAATATGACACACCTCATTCTTTGTCCTTTTTTGTTTTCCAACTTATTCTGGCCATCCTACGGTAGCACCACATCTCAAACGCCTCTGATATGTTTTCTTCTTTCCTCGTCAAAGTACAGGATTCAGCGCCACATACGAATATGGGGAAGATGTAGTATTCCAGCATGTTCTGTCTTTAAGTGAGAGATAGTTGCCTGGATTTAAATAGACTGTACATTTGGCTCAATCTTGTTTTTGCAGCTGCTGTTCTTATGTTTATTTCTTTTTCACTTCTTCCGTTATCTGTGATTTTTGCACCAAGATACTTGAATTGGGGCACTTGTTCAATTCTCCCCCCATCTATGGTTATGTCTGTGATTTTTCCAGAAGATTTTGACAAGACCATTGTATTCATATGTCCTGATAATTAACCTGAAGAGTGTGTTTGTTAAGGAGGTGGGCAGAGTTTGAAAGCAGTGATGATAATAATTATTACTGCGTTTGGTTTAGAGTGTAATCTCGATGGTGCTCCTTTGCAGGAGATGGAAACACAAACTGAAAATACACAATCTTGTAGTAATGTGTGCGCGTGTGTGTGTGTATGCGTGTGTGTGTGTGTGTGTGTGCGTGTGTGTGAACGTGTGTGTGTGTGTGTGTGTGTGTATGTACGTGGGTTTGTGTGTGTGTGTGTGTGTGTGTGTGTGTGTGTGTGTGTGTGTGTGTGTGAGAGAGAGAGACAGACAGACAGACAGAGACAGAGAGCGACAGACAGACAGACAGACAAACAGACAGACAGACAAACAGACGGGCAGACACACACACACAGATAGACAGACAGACAGAGACAGAGACAGACAGAGAGAGGAAAGCTGCTTGCCGTCTTGCCTCTTTTGAAGACAGAGAAAACAATTCAATGTATTATAGAACTATGTCAAATTCATGAAAAGAGAACTCAAGCTGTACTCACACGCTTATGTTTACTTGTTCCCAAGAGGTTGCAGTCAGGTTACAGGTGAGGGAGGATGGGAGGTAGAGGCTTAACACTTCCAGGGCGGCTACCATGGCTGCTGGGGGTCACGTGATGAGAAGAGGGACGAAAGTAGGTCAAGGTGAGTTTAGTTAGTTTAGTTTCGTTTAAGTAGAGGTTTTACGGCATAAGGTCATATGAGCGCCAGAAGATTAGAGGGGTTACAAGAGAGTAACAAACATAAAAAAGAAGAAGGGAAGATAAGGACGATAGACGTTTGATAGGAAAGAAGGAGCAAACCACACCAGAGCACCCGCCAACCACCCACTGAGTTTATAATGAGCGTGTTGGTTAGTTGGCTTCGTTAACATTTCATTGATCTCCATGCTCCATGATGGAAAATATTAAAAATTTGCTATGGCATGGTAAATACACCTAGATTATACACGAAAACACAAGACATACATTAAAACCATCGCTATTTTCTCACCTGTGTCGCCATTTGTTGCTGTAGTCGAAGTGTTGCTGAAGCTGCTGCCACTGTTGCTACCATCATCACCAACGAACGCACCACCACCACCATTACCACCACTACCACTAGCACTTCCACTACCAACATTACCACCAACAGCACCAGTGCTGCTGCCGTTGTCTGTCTGTGGGTTCACAACTAGAGTAAACGGCTGGGAGGTCAAGCCAGTGGACAGAGAGCGACATCTGACGGAGTGACCATTTGACGTCACTGGGAATGCCACCTGGCGGGAGAAAGTTACAAATAATAATATTACTATTAATAACGATGATGATAATAATGATGATGAATTAATAATGATAATATTAATCATAATAATCATAATAATCATAATAGTAGTAGTAGTAGTAGTAGTAGTAGTAGTAGTAGTAGTAGTAGTAGTAGTAGCGCAGCATTATCACCTTGTTTTTCTCCCGAAGACTGAGGACAACAAGAGTCACGTAAACGAACTCATTCAAACAGACAGGCACCTAAATATTCGCGAAATTTCCGAGTCGCTAAACATTTCAAGTCGACTGTCCATAGCATAGTGTTTGATGAGCTACACTATCGTAATGTCTATGCTTGATCCGTCCCAAAAGAACTGACAGCTGACCACAAGACGCAACGTGATGAAGTGTCTCAAACTTTGTTGAATCGTTGTCGCCAAGCTTTCACGGGAGTCATGAACGCATCTGGAGACCTCCAACAATACTATGAAGCATTCCTGAGGAGCATTACTTGGATACACCACATGACCCCTGAGACGAAGAGAGGTTCCGTGGTTTGGAAGCACACG